GTTTGGGCTTATGGTATTCAATTATGGGGCTGCGCTACACAGACACATATCCAATCTATCGAAGATTGCAAAATAGAGTATTACGGGACATTGTGAACGCCCCCTGGTATGTCCGTAATGCCGATATACACAGGGATCTCACGATTCTAAGTGTCACAGACGAAATTAAAAAGCAAGCAGCCAATCATAAAATGCGATTGTCCAATCATGTCAACATTGAGGTTTTTTAATTTGTGAAGTTTTTTTAATTTGTAATGATTTTTAATTTTTATTTTGTTGTCTGTGGCAAATATAATTTAATCAATTACTAATGTTAAGATTTTAACAATTTAAATAAGTATGTAATTTAATCTCTAATAAAATAAAATTAGAAAAAATTATAAACATACATACATATGTATGTATGTAGGTGCATTTACGTGATAAAATTTATTGGTTTTCTCATAAAATATTACTAGTTTTAAGAAAAGTGTAAATATGATATGTAGGTAACAAAAAAAGTGAATTTAAAATTTTTTTTTGTTATTTTTTTTTCTCTAGTTTGTAAGAACATGAAACTTAATTTTGTTATTTAAATGAAATAAAATAATTTCTGTGTAAATTTTGTATTTAATCGTTTTTATTTTTTAAGCATATGAAATCACCATGAACATTTCTAATTTATTCGAAAATACTTAATATAAGAATATGTGTATGTATGTATGTATTTCTTAACAAAAAGTGAGATGAACAATTTTCAATACACGGTATGTATGCTTTAGCAAATTGTGTATTGCCAAGTCTTATAAGTATAAAGAATTCTGTGAAGAAATGCAGGCCTGAACCCTAAGAGAAAGTGACAGTTCACAGCTGACGAATTTACACGTCTTACACGGTCCTTCTTAACATCATAAATCTTTCAGAAAATCAACTTTTTTCAAATTTTTAATGACAAAATTCGAAATTCAATCTTTTTCTTTTAAACAATTCAATTTCAACGACTTTTATCTAAAACATAGGCACTACTAATATATTCGCTTATGTGAAATTTCAATGTTACAGCTTTTATAGTTTCTGAAATATGTATACCCAAATAAATTTTGAAGTTGCATGACAGCTAATCGAACGAAGTACCACGATCATATCCAATCGTTGGGACGGACGATATCTCAGACCATTATTTCTTAGCGTTACAAACGTTAAGGCAAATTTAGTATACCCTTCGAAGATACGTTCGTACGGGCATAAAGACTTTCTAGGTCTGTTAGTTTTTTTGATATTTCAATAAAATGCTACACTCCAAGAGCATTTTATTGAATCCTCAGGGATGACATAAAACTTCCTGAGTTTAAAAGGTCCCTGAGGGTCTCTGAGTTTAGCAAGTCCCTGAGGGGAATCCTAGTTCCCTGAGAATGACATAAAAGTTGAAACTAATCGGAACCAATATATTTAAATAGCTTGTTGTGAAATTTCAAGTAAGTAAATGATTACAATAAAACATAATAAAAATTTTTTAATAATAAATTAATAAAATGTTTCTAAATCTATAATAATAATAATTCTAAAATAAAATTAGAACTATTATACATTGACAAATATATAATAATTCTAACAATATCTAAATTTTTTATTCAAAATTGTAGTTAAATTTTTAGGTTTTAGTCAATTTTTTTTCATAGAAAACTCAAAATGAAAATAGGCAAACTGCACAATTTTTTCCAAAAAAAAAAACGATGATTCAGAAATGTCATTCTGCTATAAATATTTTGACCGTTTTTACAAACTATCCACAAAAAAATAAGAATCTAGACCAGAGTTGCCATAAATTAAATTTCAGAAAATGGTACAGGATACCGGACCACAGGTACCACATATTTGGTACATTTTTTTATTAATTTTGAGAACTCTGCAGCAATTCTCTACAAAATTAAGTATTTCTCAATTTTAAAACATGGAAACGAAATATACTTATACAACTCATAAATAAATCAAAATTTTATTCATAAAAACATTAAATTAAAATTAAGTATTAGAGCTGAAAATTTTCTAAGATTGTTAGGTTTAGTGAACAATGAGCGAAATTTCCAAATTATGTTTTTTTAAAAACATTAAGTAACAGCTTAAATCAAAAAATAAAAAAAGAATACGACGAAAAAAATTTCTGGGTTTGAAACTTTTTACTGAACTTTTAAAACCAAAGAAATGAAGAGCTAAAAATTAAATTTTCCCAAATGCCATACATTTTACGTTGGGTGAATTTATCCTAATGTCTGAACGTCTTAGCTTTTAAAAAAAATTTTTTTGAAGGCACTATTTGCCTTAAAACGGAAACTACTAGAGAAGTAGAAGTGTCACTATTTAGATTATTTTCATGTTATGGTACCGATCACAGTCATAGATATCACAAATATCATAAATATCTTTATCGTGTTTGTTGTTTTAAACTTAACTTATCATCATTGCTTTTGAGGGAAAATGTTTTGCAAGAAAAATATCGACAGTCAAAAATTCCAATCCCCATAAATAAATGGTACATTTCAATAAAAAGTGATGTAATCGTAATAAATGGTACATATAGCGTACCATAATAATTAGAGTGGCATATACTTCGTCCAAAAAGGGCACTACCAAAGTGCACAAAAAAATGGTACGGAAAAATGCCTCCCATACCACAAATGTGCACATTCCAGCACATTCCAAGAGTAGAGACCTCTTTCAAAAATAAGGCCATTTTCATACAAAAAAAAAACAACACTCATGACTTTTCAACAAAATAAGTCCTTAATATTCCAATTCTCTCATTTTTTCCCCTTTCATGTTATTAAATTAGAAAATGGAATATATAATTCAAATAAAAGGATCTACTATACTTAGTCGGATCTACTATACTTAGTCCTAACAGATGTGGCAAAATAACACTAACAGAGTTCATCCAGTTCATTCATTGAGTAATCATTTACATAACATTCAACATTGCAAAGCTCACGACCTTTTTCTAACATAAAGCCATTTTCATACAAAAAAATTATCAAAAGTTGTTTTGCCTTGATCCCTTTTCTCATTCTCTCATCTTTTGTTCTTTCTTCTCATTAAAATTAGAAAACGGAATTGTTGTTGCAATTGGTTCTAGTTTCTTATTTATAAACGGAGCTGACTCTGAAAAACATACCATTTAAATAAAACAGAGATAAAGAAAAAAATTGCAAATAAAAAACTCAAAAATGTGATATCGTGACTCATGAGATCATAATTCATAGAGATTTGTAAACATTTTTTTCTGTTTCATAATGAAATGAGTGATAATAATATATTTCATATTTTATATAATTGTTTGTAAATATTAATATTAATTTAATTGGACATTTCATATTTAAATACAAAATTAATTACATAAACAAACAAACATTAACATTATCTTATTTTCCCTTTATATGTGAGTTGGAAATATTTTAATTCATGTAAGGAAGAGCTAATGAAACTAAAATTGCAAGTATATACCTATCTATCTATCTGGTGTTTACTTAACATTCTAAAGCGCATAATTAATACCTTACCTCATCTTATTCAAATAAGTATATACTTTTTCTGCTCTAATAATATACCAAAAATAAGATTTTACGTCAACTTTACTTTTTGATTTTTTGTTCATATCAAAAATAAAACGAATATCTATGACTCGTTTGAAAATAGAGTTGAGTGGAGTTACTTAGTTTCTTGAAAACTTAATAAAAATCTGTACGCATTATGTAGATACATACTAAATAAAATAATACAAGTTTCTGAAATGAAAGGACATATTTTGTAGATGTATGCATTATGAGTAAGTAAAGAAGTAAAGTTGACGTAAAATCTTATTTTTGGTATATTATTAGAGCAGAAAAAGTATATACTTATTTGAATAAGATGAGGTAAGGTATTAATTATGCGCTTTAGAATGTTAAGTAAACACCAGATAGATAGATAGGTATATACTTGCAATTTTAGTTTCATTAGCTCTTCCTTACATGAATTAAAATATTTCCAACTCACATATAAAGGGAAAATAAGATAATGTTAATGTTTGTTTGTTTATGTAATTAATTTTGTATTTAAATATGAAATGTCCAATTAAATTAATATTAATATTTACAAACAATTATATAAAATATGAAATATATTATTATCACTCATTTCATTATGAAACAGAAAAAAATGTTTACAAATCTCTATGAATTATGATCTCATGAGTCACGATATCACATTTTTGAGTTTTTTATTTGCAATTTTTTTCTTTATCTCTGTTTTATTTAAATGGTATGTTTTTCAGAGTCAGCTCCGTTTATAAATAAGAAACTAGAACCAATTGCAACAACAATTCCGTTTTCTAATTTTAATGAGAAGAAAGAACAAAAGATGAGAGAATGAGAAAAGGGATCAAGGCAAAACAACTTTTGATAATTTTTTTGTATGAAAATGGCTTTATGTTAGAAAAAGGTCGTGAGCTTTGCAATGTTGAATGTTATGTAAATGATTACTCAATGAATGAACTGGATGAACTCTGTTAGTGTTATTTTGCCACATCTGTTAGGACTAAGTATAGTAGATCCGACTAAGTATAGTAGATCCTTTTATTTGAATTATATATTCCATTTTCTAATTTAATAACATGAAAGGGGAAAAAATGAGAGAATTGGAATATTAAGGACTTATTTTGTTGAAAAGTCATGAGTGTTGTTTTTTTTTTTGTATGAAAATGGCCTTATTTTTGAAAGAGGTCTCTACTCTTGGAATGTGCTGGAATGTGCACATTTGTGGTATGGGAGGCATTTTTCCGTACCATTTTTTTGTGCACTTTGGTAGTGCCCTTTTTGGACGAAGTATATGCCACTCAATAATTAAAAATTTTTTATGGTACAAAAGTTTGGAAAATGGTACAAGTTCATGAAAATGGTACGTTTGGCAGCCCTGGTCAGTGTATTGATATTTTTTATGTCAAAATATTTTGACAATACTAATTTAATATGAATATTTTTATGAATCTTTAAATTGTCAAAAAAATCGGAAAACACTTTTGTAATTGTTTTACACATTGAATTTTTTTATACACAACTATTATGATATCATATTGTAATAGTTAATAAATTTGAAATAATATAATATGTTAATTTGCGAAATAAAATATATTAAAAACAAAAACGGTAAGTTAATGGACGAGAGGAAATATGTAATAATAATTTTTATACATTCATGCATATAATATGTATATAATGTGTATATAATATATAATATGAAGACGAGAAATTACATCATTAACTATTAAATTCCTACGGAATGGTATAATTTTATATCTATGTTCATCAAATCAATTATTGTTAACTGCCTCGTAGATTTTTCATTTCATATAATATGTAAGTAGTCGACGCATAAAAAAAGTTAAAATGAATACTCTGAAATTCTTGTCTACTCATTTTTTTATTTTTGAATTTGCATATTGATGTATGTATTACAATTTTGATTATAAAACTATAAAGCTTAATCCATTTTAGATCTTGTAAAGCGAATCAATATGTTATGTACATTTGTTGTGTTGCCAAATGATAACACATTTTTTTATGTGACTAATTTTATGTATTTTAGACGGTTATAAATACATTCAAAATAGTTAGCAGCTGCCTGCATTATATTTCGTTACGAACAAAGATTTTATGAATAGCGAATAAGTATAATTAATTTACTGAAGTTGGTTTTCAAACCACCTGCAAAAAAAGTAATATGTAGAGAACATTTATTTATAGAATTTTGAAATTTTTTGGTAGAAATATTAAAAAAAAACAGTTAAAAGTATATTCTTTCTTTTTCTTGTTTGTTTATCAGAAAATTAAATATTGCTGAAAACTATGACTACATACGTGAAAGCCTTATATGATTTTTCTGGCGAAGCTAACAGTTCTGAGTTATCTATAGCAACAGGTGAAGTTTTAACTGTAACAAGAACTGACGTAGGTGAGGGTTGGTGGGAAGGAAAAAATTCGAAAGGGGAAATTGGATTATTTCCAGCAGCATATGTTCAATATATGTCAGCAGCTGAATATAATCAACAACAAAATGGAGTGTCAACGGGATTTTCACCACTTCCAACACCAGCAACAACTCTGGCAAATAGCAATTCATTAACTGGAAGTCGATATGATCAAACAACTGATGAGTGGAATGATGGTCAGGATGAGTGGGAAGATGATTGGGACGATGATAATGAATATTCTGAAATAGGACCGAGTCCAGGTCAAGCCAATACATCTCGTCAACAAGCTTCAAGTAATCAATACCATCAGCAAAACCAACAACAAGTAAACTACGCTAATCTTAGTTTGCCGGCGACGCCAGGTGATGATACTGCGTCCATATCAAGCAACTCACAATCCGCTACTATAAAAAAATCCAGCCTATTTTCTAAAACTTGCGACCCATATATATTGGGTGGAATAAATTTAAATGTGCCCGAAAATGAGAAAGTTAGTATTATACAAATTGATAATTATTATTTCTGGCAAAATATTGCTTCACCATATACAGTGCGCGTGGCGTCGCCAAAGAAAGAGACGAAATTCAAAGGCATGAAAAGTTTTATAGCATATCAACTGACACCTAGCTTTAATAATATTGCAGTAAGCTTGATATTTTTTTAAAAAGTTAAACTATTGACTGTAATGTAAGAATCAACATTTAAATTAATTAATTTCCTTAAAATTTAAGGTATCCAGAAGATACAAACACTTCGATTGGCTTCATAAGCGTCTGGTTGATAAATTTCCTCTTATTCCAATTCCTCCTTTACCAGATAAACAGATATCTGGACGTTATGAAGAAGAATTTGTTGAACATAGGCGAGTTCAATTGCAAGAATTTGTCGATTGGGTATGCAGACATCCTGTGTTGTCAAGTTGTGAAGTGTGGATGCATTTTTTAACTTGTACTGACGAAAAAAAATGGAAAATGGGAAAACGAACAGCAGAAAAAGATCCATTAGTTGGATTTGATTACTGCACAGCAATATTTCCACCCGAAAAGCAATTATTACAATCATATGTGGATAGTCAAATAGATAATTGCACAGCATTTGTGCATGCAATGGATGCGGCTGTTAAAACCTTATTGTCAATTGCAGCCGAACAAACAAAAAGAAATCAAGTAGTATTTAAAAGAGATTTTCAACGAATTGGAGATGGCTTTGCTGAGTTGGCAAAAGCTTTAGAATATGACGAACGTAGATATTCTACAGGAGAATCATTGTCAACCAGTGTAGGAAAAACTGGAGGCTACTTCATATTAATGGGGCAAATTTTTGGAGAACAACCTAAACATGATTGGATACCTTTCTCAGACAGGTTTCATATTTATAGGTAAAAAAAAAATAAACTTTTTACCGTAAATAACGTGAAATTTTTATTTTTAGGGGCATACTTAATAGTTTTCCAGACATTTTATCAGCACACAAGGGTGCAATGCAAAAGAAAAAAGAATGTGAACGCCTTACATCTGATCAAAAGATGGGAAACGCTCAACTAGTTGAAGTTGGTAGAAGGACTGATATTGTGTCTTATGCGGTTTTAGCTGAAATATCACATTTTCGTACAGAGCGGGATGTCCATCTCAAACAAACAATATGCAATTTGATTGACACTCAAATAGAATTTTACATGAAAATAGTTGGGAAGCTACAAGAAGCTCGAAAGCAATTTCAATAAACCAAAAATCAAAATTAAATGTGGGACTTACAAGTGAAAAAATTATAAACAGTACTGAATTATTGTGACAAAGAATTTTTTTTTATATTGAAAACAAGAATAATTAATTAGATTATATTTAACAAAACCTACAGTTATTTAAAAACAATGGACAGTTAATTGATGGAAGCTATATCTCGCGTTTAACTTAATTATGTATTAAATTGAAGACAATTCGTATATAAAATATAATTGCGATTTTTAGTATAATATATTTACAACTTCACATTCATCGAAGACAATTGCAACAAGCCTTAAATTCTGTCTTTAAATTTTAAATATATTAAATTACTTATTTGTGGTTTTCAAAATTTTCTTCCCCAAATTTTTTGAATTATAAGATTTCTAAGAAAAAAATTGATAATTGTAAGTAATATACGCGCTTATTTCATTCCATAATATAATTTCAGGGGTAAGCCTTTGGTTTAATTATCGATTATTTTTAGAAATTATAATCAAATTTTAAATTAATGTTAAATGAACAACATAGAGAAAATTTAGACTTTTTGCTGCACAAAAAAAAAAACCGTTTCGACAACAAAAATAGATTGTGTTTATTTTAGCTATATGGTGTGATATGAATTTCGGAAGTTCATGCTGAAATTTTTTAATTTAAGTAAAAAAAGTTAAAAAGCTGTTATTATACTGATGAATTTTATACAAAATTTTGCATTTTTATAGTATACTATAAATGTTTCTCACATTCGATTTATTTTTATTTGTATGTACTTGATTTGCCTGAAAAAATAAAAAGAATAATGTTTTTATCGTATGCATATGATATACATACATGCATATGATATACATAATAAAAACTAATAACTTATCATTGTTTACAAACTTTATTGCTAAATAAAATAAAATTATATATATTTATATGTAAGAGTCAACTTATTTTTAAAAGACTTGAATTTAAATTATCTACCCTACATTACAAATATTTTTAGACTTTTATCTCTGTCAATGCATGTTATAAACTAGTTTATATTGTACTCATTGACACGATTTGAATTTAAAATATATTTGTATTTGCAAATTATAATAATCATATCTAAAAATACATGTATCTATAGTTCTAGGATTTTCTTTATGATATCTGCATTTTTATTATTTCGAGTAAAGCCATTGGAATTTTTGTGTTATTTTTGTTTTATCAAAGACACGTATTTAAAAGACATCCAATCCAGTTTAAAATTTTTTGCCAGAAAAGTAACCATATAATATACGTAAAAGCAGAGCTAAGTAAGAGATTCTGATTTGAAACACTTTTTGGTTAGATGTCGCTACGAACAAGGGCCTTTTTTTGGGGCCCAAAATAAACATATAAACTATAAAAACAAAACAATTTTGTCATTGATCAGTTGATCATTTTGTCTTTAATTTATATCCATTTAATTTTTTTTTAGGACTGTTCAAAAATATTGAAAATTAGCGCTTACAGGTTCCCTCTGTTCCTCTGTGTTGCCGTTTGCAAAACTTCTATCCCCTTGAAGAAAGAAAACTGAAATTTCCTAATATGTATATGAATGGATCTTTACTAGAAACTTTTTCCGTAGAAGAAAAGTTTTAGCTGGGAAAGAAAGTTGCGGCTGGGAACTTTTACAGCGGCGCCAACCAAAAATTAAAAAGGAATGTCTGTTAAGATTAACCGTTCCTTTTCAAGCTTTTGATAACGAGTTTTTTCTGTAAAAAAAGTTGTAGAAGTCTGAAACTTTTCTAGGGTTTAGATAAAAAATTTTTTCCAACTTCAACCCCCTACAAATTTTTGCCAACCCAAATTTGAAAATTCGCAATTTTTGGCAGCATACATATGTATGTATATGTATTTCCGAAACTGCAAGTTTTTTTCAAAGTTCTAAGAATGAAAGCTACCAGTAAATGACGTAATCAACCCGAGCATTATGTTAACGCCTCTATTTTTTTTAAACAGTATTCTTACTTGGAAAATTGCTACTTTACAGATCATTTAAAGTTTGAACCAGGTTTTTTAAGCTTTTTGATAGCTACTTTTAATAAAAAATCTTTTCGATTTGTCAATAATTTATTTTGTTCATAAAAAACAAATATCTAAAATGTGATTGTCGACACATACTATGGCAAAATGTATAGATATTGACGCAGTCGGTACTTTTAATCATTATAAAGTTGGGTCAAACCAGTGGTTTGTATTGTAGCACTTTTCCCTTAAACAAATGAAAATACTGCTTTTAAATACAGTCTATGTATACCTACCACACTATTAAAATTATTTTCATTCATATACGAAGCTATTTCTAGAATTGTATATATTTAGCATGAACGATTTATGCAGTCTTTGAAATAAAGCAAAAATTAACACAAAGAGGGGTTAACATAATGCTCGATTTTAAGGGTTAATTGCGTGAGTTAAAAAAAATAATTAAATTTTTTAATGCTATGGATTTTACCGTTAGCTTTTTGCGTTTATAGAAATTTAGAAAAACTAGTGGTTCCAGAAATATAAGACGTCCAAAATTCAAATTTTTCAAATTTCAAGAAGCGATGGCTTGAGAGAGGGTGGAGGTGGAAAAAAATTTTTTTCTAACGAAATGAACTATTTGTTAATGCCTAAAAGCTACTAAAATTTCAGGCGGGGTTTAGAAGTAAAACAACATCAAAAATTTGGAAAAATCGGATTTTAGATAACGGTAAATTTAAACGGCCATTTTGTTTTTTTTTAAGTTTGACTATAGTACGCTGCGATAGGAGAAGCAAGCCACTGCCTTTTTGCGTTTGCAAAATTTGAAAAATGCTTATGGTTTCACTGCAATGAATATTTAAAAAATGGCATTTTTAGGGTTTTGGGGGGTATAACTTTTATAGGGGGAGAGATAGGTAAAAATTATGTTTTACGAAAATTAGTTTCTAGTAAATATCTATGTACGTATAAAATTTCAGCTTTCTATCTTCAAGGGTGTAGAAGTTTTGTAAACAGACACACTCACAGACGGACGGACGGACAGAGTGAAACTAATAAGCACTTTTTTTCAAAATTTTTTTGGAAAAGTGCTAAAAAAAATCAGTGTCCTTTTAAAAAAAAATGTTGAAAATCGAATCATATGAACTGAATTAAACGATTTCAAGATTTTAAAAATTTTTAAATTTTTGTAAAATTTTTGAATTATATTTTATTATAAATATGTGGTGATGTGTATTTCTAACAAAAATATTTGTGTTTGTATTTTTCACAAGTGTACGCACACATTTTCTATTTTTCAGTTTTTAAAAAGAATATTGGTTCACATCAGAAATTATAATTTTAAGACTTGGTCTTTGTACCTACTTGAATATTTTCAGGTATTTTGGAATTTTCAGTATATTTTTTTTAAAAACTGAAAAGTAAAAATTTCGTTAAAATCCCTGTATCTACTTGAGACTTCACACCTACTCCGGGACAAAAGTTTTGCCCATTTCCGACACTAGCCAATGGTATATGTTGTTGTATACCTTTCTGCATCACCCTGTATATGATTAGAATAAAAAGAAATGTATATATAGAAATATTCAACAACGTGTTTGTAAATTTTGCATAAGTGTTCATTCTATTTCATAATCTTCAATATTCTGATTTCAATTTTGCTGAAAAATTTACCTTTTTAAGAATATGAAAAAAAAATTATGTTATCTAAAAATTATTACTGCTTGGTTCATAATGTCATTTTTGTGCTCTAGTATAGTAATGCACATATGTATAAAAAGTAATTTTCAAAGAAAAATATTAGGATTTCCCCATGTAAGGTTTTTGAAGAATCTTAAGAAAACTTTGTTAAAGAATTTTGAGCTTTGATTTTTAAACGAAAGATTCATTTAGAAAAATATAATATTATTCTTTTCAAAAATTAAAAAATTCAGTAAAAATTATAAAGTTTTTGTTTTTGTTGTGAATTATGTATTCACAATAAAATTATGAAATATAAATGTGAAATAACGTTTTTTGTTAATTAAAAATTGTTTTTTGGTGCCTTAGTTATTAGAAACCGTAAAAAAGTACACAAAAAACTGAAAATACTATATTTTTATTTTTAACGAATGTGATCCTATAAAGGAATGGATTGAAAACAAAATTGTGTGCACATATTCATCAAAAATGATAAGTTTTAACATTATACTTTTATTGCTCTTCTCAAAGAGGAAATAGAATAGTAAAAAAAATATTCATATGTACATATGTAGGTATATCATTTATATGTACATATATCTACGCATATGCAACGAAGAAAAAAATTTTCATAACATTCGTGAAAGAAAAGTGAAAACAAAACAGTTAAAGTAGAAATTATAACTTTTTGACGAACTGCATAGGCGTAAATAATAAATCTATAAGATCATAATTTTTACCGACCGTATTGTGTAAACAATAGGTAGGTTATGTGATGGCAACAAATTTTGCATATCGAGTTTTCGGTGGGAATGCACTTCTCCATAGTAGAGAAGTGTAAGTAAACTATTTTTAGCAACCTGTCGGTCCGTCGGTCTGTCGGGCCAAATATACATTTTTGTGTATATAAAGAGAAATAATCAACCGATTTCATTGCAATTTAATATTTGAATTCCTCGTATTAAAACAATGAACATGTAAATTTTTTGGAAAGATCATGCATTGGAAACTAGACGTTTACTACGGGCCAAATATACATTTTTGCGTATATAAAGGGAAATAATTGAGCGATTTCATTGAAATTTAATACTTGAATTCCTCGTATTAAAACAATGAACATATAAATTGTTTGGAAAGATCAGGGCTCGAAAACTGATTTGCGGGCCGATTTTACATTTTTCACCATATCTACGGAACGAATTGATGGAATTTCTTGAAATTTAATATTTGAGTTCTGGTTAACTGGCGAGCATTTCTGGAAATTCGAGTAGTACAAAGCGAAACTCTACTAAGAGCCAAATTTACATTTTTCTAGGTATGTTAACTGTAAGGTTACTAATGTCTTAAAAATTGGAAAGAAGCATTTAAAAGACATTTTTATAATATTCTGTAACCATTTCACTTAACTAGACAATATACAATGCGGTCGGTTATGTGCTGAGCACATCAGATTTTTTTCTATACGATTATATTTTTGATAATTTCTCTATTTTGTGTTTCCTTTATGATTATTTTTTTATACTTTTGAACTAATAATTAATTAAACTAATAAATCGACTATCAAATATAAAATTTCCCATTTCTTAGACTTTTTTACTTTTTATACCCTGCACTTCGTGAGGGGTATATTAACTTTGGTATGGAGTTTGTAACTACTTGAAGGAGTCATCTGCGGTATGGACATATATATATACTCTTGCTCAGCGTAAAATTCTGCGTCGATTTAGACATGTCCGTCCGTCACAAACTTTCACAAGTTGTTTCTTTTGTGCCAAGGACGAACCCTATTTTTGTTGAACTAATTCGGACAACGGGTTCGGGTACCTGCCATACAACTCCAAAAGCTAATTTTAAATATTTGGAAAAATAATAAAGTTAGATTCATGAAACTCGGCAGTTGTGTGTCCAATTATAGATCAGATATATTTGCGAAGTTTTAGTGGAATTGCTTGACAGGTTCGAGTACCTGCCATACAACTCCAAAAGCTAATTTTAAATATTTGGAAAAATAATAAAGTCAGATTCATGAAACTTGGCAGTTGTGTGTCCAGTTATAGGTCAGACATATCCGCGAAGTTTCTATAGAATGGTTTCATAGGTTATAGAATGGTTTCACATGTTTGAGTAATTGCTGTACAACAACGAAAGGTGCAGGGTATAATTCAATCGGTTCATACCGACTGAAACGTTTTTACTTGTTTTCATTTACTTAAGTATTAAATTTTTATCC